ATAATCATGTCGGGCGCCGTCGTGGCGGGACGTGCTAGCTCCTGGGCTCGCGCTCTCATCAACATCTCTCCATACACTTTCTCCGCCGTAGGCATCGCCATCGCCATCGGCGTTTCCGTCCTCGGCGCCGCCTGGTGCCAACCTAACCCTATTTTATTTGCCTTTTGTGTTTCTTCTGGTGAATGCTTGTTTGATTAATTTCCTTTCTGAATGATGAAATTTTGCGTGGTTGCGGATTTGCTAGGGGGATTTACATAACGGGAAGCAGTTTGATCGGTGCTGCCATCAAAGCTCCTCGTATTACTTCGAAGAACTTGATCAGGTCAAGCCCCAACTCTGGTAGATGAATTGTTAAATTTTCGTATGGATTGGATTACTGCTTATGAGAGGATCGGGCCGGGATGAACAATTAGGGATTCTTATTGATACATTTGTTGTGGACGTGAGGCCTTTTCTTTTCTTCCCTTACTATTGTCATGTCCCTTTTCAAGAAATGTAGTAGTTATATATTGGACCGATACAACTAAGAATCACGATACACGCAGGTATTTATAACTTTCTACATCAATTAGAACAGTATCGAGCAGGAGCTAGTGGTTTTGAAAAAAGATTGTTGAATGTATTGCTGTAACTTCTTTTTTTTTTTAGTGTCTGCCTCTACCATTTTAATTGGTCCAACAAATTTCATTACTGATGTTAAGCATTTAGCTACATTTTTCTGGTGATTATTTTGATTATAACAACTCGAATGTTGTGTTATTTCAGTGTAATTTTCTGTGAAGCTGTTGCTATATACGGTGTCATTGTTGCCATTATCTTACAGACCAAGTTAGAGAGCGTGCCTGCATCTCAGATGTATTCCCCCGAGTCTATGAGAGCAGGATATGCAATTTTTGCATCTGGAATCATAGTTGGCTTCGCAAACCTTGTCTGCGGGTTCGATATCTTCTCATTTGCTTGGTTTTTTCAATCAAAATCATCCAATGTGGCTCTTTTTACTTATTCATTTTGATTGTTTGTTTTGATTTTTTCTGATGCTTTGTTTCAAGGCTGTGTGTGGGAATCATTGGAAGCAGCTGTGCGTTATCTGATGCTCAAAACTCCTCTCTCTTTGTGAAGATTCTTGTGATTGAGATCTTTGGCAGTGCACTTGGGTTGTTTGGAGTGATTGTTGGTATAATTATGTCAGCTCAAGCCTCTTGGCCTGCAAAGGCAGGCTGATCTACCTCTTGGATTCTGAACGTGGGATGTTAAAGTTCATCTGTGGTGGGGAGGGTAACTTGTTTTTCTACTCTTGAGCTCTGTAGTTTACCCCTTCAATAGATAATGATATTCTTGTAAGTTGTGACAGCTAGAGTGGGAAGTTTTATATGCATCTGTTAAAATTGTTTGGGTTTCAATCCTCTTCCCTTGAGAACCATTTCATCTTTTTGATGTTGGTATCAAATATTTTTTATTTTTGCCTTGTTTTGGATGGGAAAGATGCCATCATAGTGTTCGTTGAATAAGTAACGGAGGGGAACTTATTGTAGTAGGAGTACTCCCTTTTCTGGCGCGTGTAACATATTTCTTGAAATATCTTTCTGTATCAACTTCTTGGATCTTTTTTGAATCAATAATATCATTATATTTACTGTTCCATTACTGGATGTGGTACTTTCAAATGCAAAGGAACACTTGGATATTCACAAAGAATGTAAGAGTTTGTGATGATTCAGTAACGAGGAAACTTGAGGCTTTAATCTATAAAACATGAGTGTTGCCAATATAAGCAGCTTTATTTATCCCACCCTCCCTACAACCACATTGATGCAAAATATGGATATCTTCTGCGTAGTTGAAACTTGAAACAGATAGGGGATCTATTATAATTTCTGACAATACAATGTATCAAGTACATTTAAATGCAGCCATAGACTGGACTTCCAATCCGAAAGGCGTTCTCATTAATACATTTGAGCTTTAGTAAAACTTCAAGGTCGGATCAATCAATTGAGGAACATCATTAAAGAAAGGAATGTTTTTCTGTTGAAGTTCTAGGTAATCCTGTGGAGTAGCTACCCTCGGGTTGAAGGGTTCGCAGTCAGGAAGAGCTAGACCTTGCTTTAGCCTACCCATATACCTAGAATGCAGGACTTGCTTTGAGCTGACGGGCAGCCGAATGGATTGATACTCCGCAAGGGCTGATTGTAAGTTCTCTAGTCCCCATTTTTCAAGGCATTTGCCTAAAACAGCTGCATCTAATATTGACATATTTGTACTTCTCAAGCCATGAGGAGTTGTGGGATGAGCTGCATCTCCAACCAATACCACATTGTCCCAAACTAGTTGTTCCAACGGATCCCTATCATATATGACATTGATGAAAGGCTCTTTTGTTTCTTTAATGACTCTTACGAACTCGGGAACCCAAACCTTCTCTGCTTGTTCCTGCATCTTCCTCACCATCTCGTCGTGTACTTTCATGGTCAGTGAGTTACCCTGCATTTGTTTTGCACATTCGTTTCAGCCTAACACAAATTATAGAACTGTTGTATAGAGGTTTACGCAGAAAAATGGCATCGTGATCGCAGTTAGGCAATTAATTACCTTGAGTTGTGGCTCTGGTTGATTAATATACCAAATCCAGTTGATCTTTTTCTTTAGAAGCTCGTAGAGAACAATGTGAGTGCCGGATCCCAAGTCAAAATACAAGCACTTCCCAAGTTCGGGATACGCCTTTCGGATGCCAATTATGGTCTCTGAATCCTCATTCTCTGAAAAATCAAGGACCCCTCTCCAAGCACAATAACCAGAATATCTACACAAGACAATGAAGTTGTGAGTAGGCATGGTTCATAGGGCACTATGAAGTTATAAATCAATGAGAGATGCAAAGAATTTAGCATTGTGCTCCATTTTCATTTTCACATACCTCAACTTGAGGTTGGGAAGAAAGGTTTGAAGTACAGAAGAGAGACACCCATCTGCCCCAACAAGCAAATCCCCAAATATTTCAACAATCTCATCAGTTTGCAAAACTTTAGCTGCTATTTTCACAGAAGCTTTGTCTTCTGATGTGCAGAAAGAGAGAAAATGGTGTCCCCAAAGGAAGATGTCAGGTGGGAGCTCATTGTGCAGAAGGCCATGGAGGTCAGCCCAATGTGCTGCTCTGAAATTGAAATTCTCATCCTTAGTTAAAATCCTCCTGGCCTTAGCTTCCCCATCCGTCGCTTGATTCTATTAAAAAACACAAAAGAAGCCCTAAACATTTGATTCAAATTTCGCAGAGAATGGGGAGTGTTGATGTTCTTCACCTGATCTATTGTGAGAGGGAGTGTGGAGTGGAGGAGGAGGAGAGGATGGGAAATCCAGGACTGGATGAGGCTCTGCGAAAGAGGATCGAGGCCGAGGCCGGCGCCGGTGGAACTTCCGGTGGGGGGGGAGGTCGATTTTTCAAGTATCTGAACTTCCCAGCCTGCCTTTATGAGGGCGTGAGCGGAAGATATTCCGGCAATGCTCCCGCCGACGATGACTGCTCTGGGCCTTCTCTTCTTCTCGTTCATCGTTTTTTTGTTCTGTTTCTCCCAAACGAAACAGAGCGGAAGAATCAGAACTCGAGATTGTTCCAGAAATGGAGGTGCGAGGAAAGTGGCACGTGCGGCTCGTGCCATTTCCTTGTATCATTGTGAGATTTTTCTTTATTTTTATTTTTATTTTTTATTTTTTATTTTCCTTTCCAAACTTGTATGTCATATTTTCTCTTTCCTTTCTCACCAAACGAGCAACATCGAGTATTTCAAAAGATTTGGCCAGAAAATCATTCGAGTTTCTACTTGACAGAGAGAAAATAAATTATCATTGGAATTTAAAAAAAAAAAAAGAAACATCAAGAACAACAGATTATTGAATATCAAACGAGCTTCTAACAAGATAAATTATCCTAAAATCTTCCGCTCATAATCTCACTCATTCTTTAAACTACCTCTCCGCTCCACTAAACAGAATATATTTGAGCTTCGACTTTCCAGAAATTGACTCAGATTCATAGATCAGACCAGATTAATTACTTGAGGAACATCATCAAGGAAAGGCGTATTTCTAATTTGAATCTCCTGCAAGTTTTCTGTAGTAGTAACCACCATCGAGTCAAAACGTTCATGGTTGGGAAGGGCCAAACCTTGCTTAATCAGACCGACGTGTCGAGAGTGCAGTACTTGCCCGGAAACGATAGGCAGCCGAAGAGACTGATACTCAGCTAGGGCTGTTTCCAAATATTCTACTCCCCATTTTTTTAGGCATTTGCCCAAAACTTCTGCATCTAATATTGACATATTCGTGCTTCTGGCACAATGGGGAGTAGTTGGATGAGCTGCTTCTCCAACCAATACCACGTTGTCCCAAACTAGTTGCTTCAATGGATCACTGTCATAGATGACATTGATGAAAGGATGTTTCGTTTCTTTAACAACTCTTGCAAACTCGGGGACCCAAATCTCGTCCACTTGTTTGTGCAACTTCCTCACCATCTCCTCATTCGCTTTCATGGTCATTGATCTAGCCTGCATTTATATTCGCATAGGTTTCCAACATCAATATATAAAATATATGAATTTAAGCCCGTTCTTGAATGAAAAATTTCATTAGGATGTTTACTAAAAAATATTTCACTATTGTTAATTAAGTTTATTAAAATAATGAAAAATTTCATTAGGATGTTTACTAAAAAAAATATTTCACTATTGTTAATTAAGTTTATTAAAATGTAGGAACGAAACCAATTAGTTGGATGCTACTCACTCTCATAATCTCATTCCTCGTTCTTATCTACAAGCTGCAACTTCATCAATTTTCATTCTTATTACTTATTTCATGGACCCACAACTTTTCAATAATTATTTTAAAACTTTTTTAATTTTCCTCTCATCTATCAGTTAATTTATTTATAATTATTTAGAAATAAGAAAATAGTATTCTAGTAATTGTGATCTAGTACTTCGATTTAATTTCTATTTTGATTCTTGAGTAAGTGAAGGAGGCCTTAATTTCAAAGTAAGAGTAGGAAATCACACCTTGAGTAGGGGTTCTTGTTGATTGACAAACCAAATCCAATTGATCTTCTTGTTAGGGATTTCGAAGAGTCCAATATGAGTTCCAGATGCCAAATCAAAATATAAACATTTACCGATTTCTGGATACGCCTTTCGGATGTTCATAATGGTTTCCGAATTCTCATTCTCTAAGAAATCAAAAACCCCTCTCCAAACACAATAACCTGAGTATCTACAATCACAATAAACGAGGCCTTAATGCTTTGTGAGAAATCGATGGGAGCGAAGAATTTAGAACGTGTATGAGAATAATTTTAGTAAAATAGATTTAATGACAAGAGATCCTGTGAGTGATTTTTATATAATTATTTTGAGCTCGTATGATTAAATATGATTTTGACCTCAATTCGAAGTTGGGAAGGAAGGTGTGACGTATGGAAGAGAGACAGCCATCTGCTGCAACAACCAAATCCCCCTCTATTTCAACTATTTCATCAGTTTGCACTCCTTTTGCCACTATTTTCACAGAGTTCTTGCCATCAGATTTGGAGAGAGAGAGGAAAATATGACCCCACAGAAATATTTCAGGTGGAAGCTCACTGTACAGAAGCCCATGGAGGTCTGCCCAGTGAGCTGCTCTGAAATTCAAATTCTCATCTTTCGTCAAAACCCATCCCTTCTTGCTTTCTCCACCAACGATTGCTCGATTCTGTTCACCAAACCCAATTAACCGAATTACTCTATTTGAAAAATTCAACTCAAAACCCTAAAAAAACCAACTAAATATTTCACATCATCGGAAAGATAGCGAAGAAATATGCTCCAAGAGCTATAAAAGGATTTTTTTGGCGAGTAGAGCTATCTCACGGGGCTCATTCTTGAGGCAAAGATGCTATCTCATCCCTCACAGAGATGAGCCACTCACCTCGACCAAAATGATGAGCCTCACCAGCTAACTTTCTGCCTTCTTCGGCTTCAAGGATGAGCTTCAATAGCTTTGAGTTTTATTATTCATCAAATTGAAATACTTTGAACCTATCTTTATTATTTACCGAGAGAGTATTGACCTTTTCCGTAGCAAGGGGCAAGGTGGACTCGAAGAGAAGTTCCGGACGGGAAAGCCATGACTGGAGGAGCCTTTGAGAGAGAGGGTCGAGGCCAAGGCCGGCGCCAGTGGAACATCCGGTGGGCGGCGCGGTGGATTTTTCCAGTACCTGAACTTCCCAGCCTGCTTTAATAAGAGCGTGTGCGCAAGATATTCCGGCTATGCTCCCTCCGACCACCACTGCTTTGGGCCTTCCCTTATTCTCCTGCATGATGATTTAGCTCTAAAATTTTTGTTTCAATGGAAGAGATGATGAAATTGCGGCTTACACAAGATAGCTACTGCATTATTAAAAGATCCGTTGGATAAGGACAGTGCAAATTTTTGTGGGGATAGAATTACGACCGACACATCCATTACAATTTTTTTTGCTGAACAAGGATAGCGTGTTAATCCAGTTGTTTTTATTTCTTAAACTTTCTAGAATAGTAATAAGAAACAAGTGATGTTATTTATTAAAATTTGAAAGAATCAAATATACAACCATTATTAAAATACCGAAAATCTTTCGGTTCTTTGGGACAGAAATTCCCATCCTGCCTTGTTGATGTGAGGCATGGGACCCACGTTTGATCTGTGTACCCAAGTGGTGGTTTTAATTTTTAGTTAGGTTCCGTTTTTCAAGAAAAAAAATCTTTAGTAAAATATATATATTTTTAACGACTTTAAAAACAAAAACAAAAATAAAAATAAGGTAGGTTTGAAATATTTTATAATAGAATAACATCGATTTTACCCTTTGTTTTTAAGAATTTTAGATCTCTAAAATTTTAGATGCTCGAAAATATAGATTTTCAACCATTTTCATTGACATTTTCAAAGTATGACAAAAAAAAATCGATAAAATATGGAAAATTTCAACAAAATATCAATAATAAAGACATAATATTAATATTAATAATTTTTAACACATTTAAAAATGATTATGAGGTGCTTATTTGATATAGATCACTTCGAACATAAGATCTCCTGCTTCGATACCATTAAAAGGATGAATAAATCAACCCCTAAATCAAAAAACTTAAACAGATGGATTAGATTAATTTAATTCATATATTGGATATCTAACATATATATGTCCACCAATTGATTAAATTCCTACATTTTAATAAAAATTATAGGAAATTTTTTATTTTCATCCTAAAAAAATGTATTCATCATTTATATACTACTTTTCGTTGATTTAAATTTAGATAAGTGTGTTGTTAGCCCAATGAGGTGATTTGGAATTGGAAATTCTCATCGTTTGTCAAACTTCATCCCGTCCTACTTTCTGTATCAATCGCTTAATTCTCTTCAAAACACAAAAGAATTAAAATGTAATTCAATGAAAATATCGATAAAAATGTCTTTGTCGAGATAGATATTTCTATAAAAGTTAGAGAATTAAAAAAATCGTAAAAAATATTTAAATTAACAAATAGTGACATTTTGTTGATATTTTTTATATTTTGTCGATTTTTTTTTATATTAGGATGGAAATGTTGATTTACCTCTCATGTCAATGTCGAACTCATAGATATATGGACCGACCGTAGGATGGGTGAGTTTAGTTATAAAATAAGAAATATTTTTTAAAAAGAATTATTTTATTTTGGGACCTGATTTTTAACGTTTTGATTAATTTACGTTGTTAATTACTACGTTTTTTTAAGCGTTTTTAACGTTCATAAAATTAGTTTTATTTCGTAAATCAATTTTCTTCTAATGTTTTTTGTCTGAACTTCTAATTGCTCATTTTTGTGAATAAGGTAGAACGCAGAGAAGCATATATGCTCTGTACGAAAAAATCTTCTTTTTTTCATCTTCTTCCTGAGCAATTTCTTCTTCTGACTCATCTCCTTTTCTTAATAAGGCAATATTTTAAATTTAAATGTCGACGTATGACGTTTCAATTACACTTCATGAAATTATCAATAAAAACATTGATAAAATATTGATGTGAATGGATATTGGTATCTATAGGTTCAACATTGTAAATCGACATTTCCATCCTATTAAAAAAATTGACAAAATATAAAAAGAATATCAACAAAAGGTTATCAATATATACATAATTAATATTAATTATTTTAATTTATTTAGAAATACAAAAAAATATTTATTTTTCGTTTTTTAATTTATCAAATTTTTTTCAGAAATATCCATCGACATTAATATTTTAAGAATATTTTCATGAAATTGAGACCTGAACATTTGCATCAATATTGACATGCGTCGAGGGAGAGATAAAATATAAAAAAAAAGAGAGAGAGGAGAAAATGAGAGAAGTGAAAGGTGGGAGGGAGAGAGAATTTGAAAAGAGAGGAAATAAAAAGAAGAAAAAACAAAAAATAAAGGAGTGAGAGAGAGCCATGTGATTCATTCACGTTGAATTAAACCACAAATTAAAAGTGTCTTAAACAGCTGCCACAAATTAAAAGTGTCCTAAAAAGTCAAGGGAAATTGTGATTTTTGACCCCTTTCAATAACCACTCTGGATTTTTGACCCCCTTTTGTTTTTTACTCATGACCCCTTCACCTTAGATTTCTGATCTCTCCCCTTATTTTATCATGTAAATTGACTAAATTGCCCTCGTTTCATAATAAATGCATTTATGATATAATAAATTTCCAACCAACCCACCAACCACCAACTTAACAATTCTCACTTTGTTTTTTCAACTCCAAATCACCACACAC